TTTTGTTATTTTCTCGACTCTTCCATCTGTCGATTTAGTTCTGGGAGGTTCTACCACATATGTCAATCTCTGGTTGTTTTCTGTTCTTGTTGGTTCTCAGTCCACAGAACTCCCTTTATGATGTTTTGTAGCACAGTGTTGGTTTTGACAAAATCCTTTAGCTTCTGTTTATCCTGGAATGTTTTGATTACACTGTTATATTTGATTAATAGCTTTGCTGGATAAAGGATTCTTGTTTGGCAGTTGTTTTTTTTTTTCTTTCAATGTTTTATATATGTTTCCCCATTGCCTTCTTGCCTGCATGGTTTCTGCTGAGTGATCCGAGCTTAATCTGACTTGATTGCTTTTGTATGTAACACTTCTCTTTCCCTAGCTGCTTTCAGGATTGTCTCTCTATCTTTGATTTGGAGAGCTTCATTATGATATGTTTTGGTGATTTTCTTTTGGGGTCTATCCTTTCTGGGGTTTGTTGAGCTTCTTGATTGTTTATCTTTTCACTTTTCAGGATGTTAGAGAAATTTTCTTAAAGAAGCTCTTCAACTATCTCTTCTGTGGACTTGTGTGATTCTTCCTATTCTGGAATGCTGATAATTCTTAAGTTATTCCTCTTCATGTTATCCAACATGAATCTTAGACCGTCTTTGGATTTTTTTAACCTTTGTTCAGCTTGCTCTTCTATCTTAATGGTATTGAGAGATTTGTCCTCTAGTTCACTAGTTTTGTCTTCCATCTCTTCCATTCTACTCCTTTTCCCTTTCAGTGTATTGTCTATTTCTTATATTCTATTATTAATCGTTTGAACCTCTTTCTATAAGGTTTGAATTGTTTTCAGTGCTGTATCTATCCTATTTGATTGTTCTGTAACACTTTCCTGACTACTTCCTTATTTTTCTCAACTCCATTGTAAAATGTTTTGAAACATTTTATAATCATTTTTCTGAATTGCTTCTCAGGCATTTCCAAGGCCTGCCCTCCTTCCAGAGTCCAGATCTACCTCAAGGTCATTTGTCTCAGACATTTTATCTTGTTTCTTGATGTGTGCTGATATGGTCATCTTTTTTTTCTTCTTGGCCATGTTTATCTGTGGCCTTAATACTTAATTGAGTGTGTGCTTTGGTATTCTTTATGCTTTCTGATTGCCTCCAAGTAGATGTAATCAGGAGGTGGACTTCTCTTTTTACTCTTGTTATTGCTTAACTCAGAGTAACTTTCACAGGTGTTGTTTGCCTCCCTGATGTATGGCAGTTGGTATTGGTTCTTGCCTGGATTGTGGGGCTTTATAGGGTGTGAATGTATCTTGACTATATGGAAGCAATTGCTGTCTCTTCTTGGGTAGTATAGGGAGAGAAAGAGCCCCTATGTGTAAAAGGCAGAACAAAAGCAAAATACAAAAGAATAACAACGACAACAAAAAACCCCAGCAATAGCAAGAAAGCAAGGAAAAACAAAACAAAAAAAACTGATTGGATACTATAATCGCGGAAAAAGAAGAGGAGAGAGAGAAGAAAAAAAAAATCTGTAGCCTAATATGTTGTTGTTGTTATGAAGTGCCATCAAGTCAGTTCCGGCCCATAGAGCTGAATATGAGTATGACTTTAATATCCTTTTTCAGCTTGTTGCCTTCAAAGCCATCTGATAAATTTCAAGATGCCAGTGCTGGTTGTTATGCTGTACTACAGGATTTAATTTTTGGCCTGTTTTGTTTTTAAACTCTTTCCCTCTCCACACCCCTATTCTGGCCTTTTCCCTATCAATAAACAGTTCAGGGCCAGGTGTGCCATTTTGAGCTGCCTGTCCCTTTAAATGCTGAGGGTATCTGTGCACATGCGTGACAGAAGAACCCACCAGTGGTGGGAGTAGGGGTGTCCAGTCGCTCACGCACTCCCTCTAGTCACCAGAATGGAGGTGTGCAGGCCATGAGGGGCCAATGAACAGATACCCCCCAAAAAAAAAAAATCAGAAAAAAGCAAAATCAAAAAATATATTGTCCACCTTTGCTCCGAGGTTCCTGCGGCATTATTCCGTGTTGAGTCTGTTTGCTCCCTGTCTTCGTCTTGCCATTTGGTCTCGCCCAAGTTGTCAGCTCCAGGCCACTGAGCCTGGCAGATTCTAAAGTACAAGATTTCTTTTGCTACAAGTTCCGCTAGCTATTAGCCTTCAAACTTTTAGAAAATATTCCTATATATGTGGTTCAGAGTTTTGGAGCTCTCCCCTGGATCCGCTTTGTCTGGTATTCTGTGGTATTGCTGACGGAGATCTTCACTGCACCTCTACCCTATCCACCATCAAGCCCTGCCTCCATGAATGCCAAGAATAGTCTCTTATATGCGATTCTCTGTTACAAATCTATTACAGAGAAGTAATATTTGTTGTTATTTTGGTTTGTATAATGCTCTATATAAGTACATTATACAATTTTACCAAGATATAATGATTTTTTACTATTTTAGAAAGGATATTTGACTTGTCTCTGCAATGTTGTTTAAAACAAGGAATTCTCACTATTATTTTAAAAAGGTTTCTGTTTTATGTTAGGTAGACCCCAAACTTGTGGATGGACACCTTTCATACTTTCTTGGAGCTATAGGCATGCCTGGTTTGACTTCCTTAATTGGAGTACAGGAAAAAGGCCATATAACTGCCGGATCCAATCAGACAATGGTTGTCAGTGGGGCTGCTGGTGCTTGTGGATCTTTGGCTGGGCAGGTAAACTTTTGGAGAATTATTATCTTAAAAAGTAATCATATTTTAATGTTCTGGCATATATAATTTAAAATATAAAATTAAGGAAATTGGAGCAAATAGAATATAACACTGTTCTTTCACATGGTTCTGACAGAAAGAGTATTATTGCACTATTTACACTCTCAATAAAAATGTGAAAAATATTATAGATTATATGTTTCTTGTTCTCATTTACCAAAAATAGACTTGGTAAATGAGGTATCATTGCTCTTATCAATATGAAACAAGAGAATCATATAGTAAGTACTATGTAAGTAAGCCTGGAATTAACATGAATTAGAAAAAATAAAGGAATTCATATATTTTTTTTAATTCTCAAAAAGAAAATATTCATTGCATTTCTGGAAACTTAGTAAATCTTTAATAGACCCATAAGTGTATTATTTTACAGATAATAGCTTTTTTGTAGTGTGAAACAGTTGAAACACTGTTTTTTATCCTCATTCTGTTTTTAATTCCTCACAAGCCTGAAAAATATTGAATTGTGGCATCGTGATGTTTTGGGTCTGAAGAGTCCTTTTATAAAATCAGCTTGAAATTGTGAAATTTTAACATTCAAACCAAATCTGCTATTATTTAACTTAATTTAAATTTTTTTTTAATACCAATAACACTCTTTCCCCAACCTGAATTATTTTGATATCAAATTACTTTTAGCTACAAATGGTATGATGTAACCTCAATTGTGGCGTGACACTCAGATATTTGTAATATATACTTTCACATTTTTGCATTCAAATGTGACAAGATAAAGCCATTTACTTTTGAAAAATTTTCCCCTAGATTGGCCATTTGCTGGGCTGTTCCAGAGTGGTGGGAATTTGTGGGACAGATGAGAAGTGCCTGTTTTTGACCTCAGAACTGGGCTTTGATGCTGCAATTAATTATAAAAAAGGGAACGTGACAGAACAACTCCGAGATTTGTGCCCAGCTGGAGTGGATGTTTACTTTGACAATGTTGGTGGTGACATCACTGATGCAGTGATAAGTCAGGTTGTTCATTTGTTTCTGTTATAAATTTGAATATTCCATTTGATTTATCTTTTTTTTATGGTGATAAAAAATGTATATTACAACATTTGCCAATTATGATATTATCTCTTGGTACTGAGAGAAAAAACTTTAGAAAATTATAGGTTCATTGTAATGAATAATGTTGATGATAAGTACTGTAATTAAGTGACCAAATAGATCTTGCTGATATTTATTCCATTTGCTTGCAGAGTTGTAGTGTAAGCATCAGTTTCAGTTCTTTGCTAGCAATATTTTACCTATAACTTTTTTTTTTCTAGGACTTTTGTTTTTAAGCATTTATTGTGAATTGAGTGATAGTTTACAGGGCAGAATATCAGTTTTACACTCAACCAGTCATATTTTGTTTCACTGCAATGGTTATAACTCCCTCCATGTACCATTGGTTAACAGTATTTGCCTCTATTCCTTTTTTTTTTTTTTTTTTTTTGATATATACAAAATACACATAAAAAATTTTTCATTTAAAGGACCAAAGGGAACATTTTGCAAGCCCACCAACACACAGCCTTTCTCTTTCCATGAGTCTAGAGTCCTCAGCTGCTCCATCTCTGCATGCCATCACCTCTGTCACCATATCTGGTGTCTCTGCTTTTCTGGTTAGGGTCCCTCACTCCCATCATGCTCTCCCGTCTTGATAGTCCTAGGGTCCTCTGTTCCTGGAATGAAAGATTAACTACAGCCCCCTTTTGGTTACACATCTTCTACCTTTACAGTTGTGACAATCACAATTGTTGTTGTTAAGTGCCGTCGAGTCAGTTTCGACCCATAGCGACCCTGTACAGGGTTTCTGAGGGTGTAAATCTTTACAGGAGTAGAAAGCCTCATCTTTCTCCCGCAGAGCGGCTGGTAGTTTCGAACCGCTGACCTTAAGGTTCGCAGCCCGATTCGCAACCACTACACTACCAGAGCTCCTTGACAATCACAATTAGTCATGATAATAATTACTCACTATTGAATAAAAAGAATCCTATCCCGTCTTCGCCATCGCCTTTCACCAGACCCATCTAGATAAGAGGAAAACTATTCAGTGGGGATTCTACCCTACCCCACCTTGCTCTGAAACTAGGCAAGCCATTTCATGCTTTTATAGCCTCCTCCCCCCACCCCCATTTTTGGTAGCCAATGTCTAAGTTGCCTATCCCTGTGAATTCAGAGGGGATAGGCTTGATCCTTGATGTGAAGACTCCTTCCCTCTTGGTTAGAATTTTGAGCAACTACATCCATGAGCAAATGTCAAGTTCATCAAATTGTAACAATTTACACTTGTTTCTTGTCTCAAACTTCTTTATCTTTCTCTAATTGAATTCTGATCAGCAAAGCATCCAAGCTAGGCCAAATGAGTACTCTCTGCAAGTTTGGGTGTTCTTGTATGCTTCCCTCCACTTCAAATCAACTGGACACTTCACTCACAGCTCTAGCCCCAGTGGCTAGGTAAGTGTCAATGGGCTCAGGAGTTCCCAAGTCTTCCCAAACTTCAGATCAACCAGCTCTTCCTCTTATCTTATCTCAAGGTTGACAGGAGTCTATGGAACATGGCCGAACTCAGCCTGCGTCTTCATAGCTGCCTTTCCCTTAGTTCCACTCACAAGTAGACCAAGGTGGTCACCAGCGAGCTTACAAGCCTGTTTGTGTGTTCCCTTTCAGTCTTGGAAGGAGGTTTATCTGGATGGGCTGACTTTTCTTGCCTTGATGGTTCCCAAGCGAACAGTTTGCTTGGTTTTGTAACATCCACACAGTCTGCTTTTTTTTTTTTTCCTTTTTTCCCTGCTGGTCTTTCTTTCAAGAAATATCTTCTGTACCTCTAGCCACTCCACTACAGTTTATTTTTGTGAAAAAATTATAGCTGCATAATTAAAATGGTGAAATTTGTCCCCTCAGCAGCCTCACAGCCATGGCCCTTGATTGTGAGCTATTATGTGCTTTTGAGTCAATTCTCAGAGTGATCTTACAGAACGAGGTAGAACTGCCCCATGTGGTTTCTTAGGTTGTAATCTTTACAGAAACAGATTGCCAGATCTTGCTCCTTCAGAGCCATTTGGTAGATTTAAACTGCTGATCTTTCAGTTAGCAGCTGAGCACTTAAATATTATGCCACCAGAGATCTTTGGCTTTGGGCTATTGTTGTTGTTAACTGCCATTGAGTCAGTTCCGAGTCATAGCAACCCTATATAGGGTTTCTGAGGAGCAGCTGGTAAGCTTGAGCCTCTGACCTTACAGTGTAAACCAACTTTGCAGTCCAGTGCTTAACCCACAGCACCATACCAGGACTTCTTTGCCTTTGGGCAGGGAGTAGATTTTCATAGATCACAAGAATTTGAGTATATTTATTGATAGTGCTATAGAGTATCAACATTGCATTTGTTAAGTGTAGTCTTGGTGGTTCCAATTCACAGCTACCCTGTGTACAATAGAATGAAGCACTGCCTGTCCTGTGCCATCCTCTTCCTCACAGTTGGTATGTTTGAGCCCATTGTTGCAGCCACTGTGTCAGTCCATCTCACTGGGGGTCTTCCTCTTTTTTACTGGCCCTCCATTTTAGCAGGGACTGGTTCCTCCTGATAACATGTTGTAAGTATGAGAGGGGAAGTCTTAACATCCTGGCTACTAAGGAGCATTCTGGCTGTACTTGCTCCTTGACAAATGTGTTTGTTCTTCTGGTAGTCCATAGTACTTTTATATTCTTCTCCAACACCATAATTCAAATACGTTGATTCTTTCTTATTCATGGTCCAACTTTCACATACATATGAGACAATTGAAAATATCATGACTTGAGTCAGGCACAGCTTAGTCCTTAAACTTAGTCCTCAGTCTTTTTGTTTTCTTTACAATGAGTTGCAATCCATGCACTGCATTTATTTATTGTTGTTGTTAAGTGCTGTCAAGCCAGTTCCGACTCTTAGTGACCCTGTATAGGTTTCCAAAGAGCAGGTGGTGAGTTTTAACTGCCAATCTTGCAGCTCAAACTGACCTCACGGTGCAGCTCATATCCTACAGTGCCGTATCAGGACTTCATACACTGCACAGTTCTTTATGTTAAATTGCCCACAGCTATTATGTTGTTTAAATCTAAAGAAATAGTCTACAATTACTAATAAAGTAACAACAAGAACACTAATGTAATTCTATGTCCTTTTAGAGTGTATTTAGACTAATTAAAACTGCTAAATACATACGTGTATACTGTACTGGACTGCAAGGTTGGTTTGAACTGTAAAGTCAGAGGTTCAAGCTCACCATCCACTCCTTGGAAACCCTGTACAGGGTCACTATGAGTCGGAACCATCTTGATAGTGGTACTTAATATTATAATAAAATAATAATGGGTAAATCTTTCAAACAAAATTCTTTGGCACTAAAGGATTATGTACAATAGTCAGTGCGGCTTTTATTGAGACAGCTAAAATTTGTAAACATGGGAAAGACATATATCTTAAAGTATAATCAATTTTCTGTGAACAGATGAACCCAAACAGCCACATCATCCTGTGTGGTCAAATTTCTCAGTACAACAAGGATGTCCCTTATCCTCCCCCACTGGCCCCTGCTGTAGAAGCAATCCGGAAAGAAAAAAACATCACAAGGTGTGTTTTACCCCTTTGACCTTACTACCTGAATCTAGAGGATTTAAATACTAGAGATGTATATGAAATGTATTGAAATTCTTATTTTATTTTATTTTTATTATACTAAAGATGTATATGAAATGTATTGAAATTGTTGTATTAGATAAAACTTGAAAATCTGCATCTTTAAATATTTTATTGTGATGATATATATATAACAGAACATTTCTTATTTGAACCATTTTTGCATGTACAGTTCAGTGACAATTATGTTTACCCTGTTGTAAAACCATCACCATTAACAGAAAGTCAGTATTCTTAAGTAATACCTCCTCATTGCTCCCTCCTGCCCACCCCTGGTGTAAACCTTATTAGTCTTTGTGCATTTGCTTATTTTGGATAGAAAATACAGATTTTTAAAGCCAGTTCAATATTTAGGTTTTGGTTAACTTGCTCCCTAACAGAAGTCTTAAAAGAACAAAAACATAAGACACTGTTCCATCAGTCAGAATTCTTTCGGTTGTGTGTATGTGATAGAGATTCAGTGTACCCTGGCTGAAGTGTGTAAAGGAGATTTGTTAAGTCGTGTATCTGAGCAGGTCAGAAACACGATTATGCATGGTTTATTTCTTTATTTCTGATGCATAAATCAGTTTAGCTTTGGCTGCCTCCAGGGTTTTTATAGTCACATCAGGACTCAGTTTTCCTTCACCTCTGGCCGTTGCTGTCTTGTGACTCTCTCCAGGCTCTCCCCTTGTGGTACCAAGAGGAAACAGTAGGTCTAGTACAACAGTTTACCAGGTTAACAATCCAAGCAAAAAGAGAGTAGTTCTCCTTGTAGTATCCTAAAGCTGATACTTAATAGTGCTAATTGACCTAGTCATAGGAGGTGTAGAGGAAGGGGGAGGAGGTGTTACCCATAAAGGAAAAGCTGTTGTTACTAAGAGAGAGTGTAGATCTTGAATAGACAAAAACAATAGAAGGCTAGTATATCTGTTGTTGTTGTTGTTGTTGTTATGGGCCTTAGAGTCAGTTCTGACTCATAACGACCCTGTACAAGGTTTCCGAGGCTGTAAATCTTTACAAGAGCAGAAAGCCTCATCTTTCTCCCACAGAACAGCTGGTAGTTTTGAACTGCTGACCTTGCAGTTCGCAGCCTGATTCGTAACCACTACGCTACCAGAGCTCTTGCAACTATACTTTAAACTACATTTGAGGGATAAGGATTGCATGGAGGGGATTGTAACCATGGCAATGAAACAATATACAATAGAATGAATGTAAAACTAATGTTCTCCCATGTAAACTATCACATAATTCACAATAAAACATTAAAAAGAAAACCACTACATTTGATCAGATTGGTGTGCTTTAGTGATAATATTTGAAGGCTAGATATTGGTGGTGATGTGCTGTGGAGTTGGTTCTGACTCATGGAGCCCCTGTATAAGGTTTCCGAGGGTGTAAATCTTTGTGAGCGGCACAACGCCTTATCTTTCTTCCGCAGAGTCACTGGTAGATTCAAACTGCTGACCTTGCAGTTAGCAGCCCAATTCATAACCCACTACATACCAGAGCTTTGATTTTTAACTCTTTCATTCCTTCCCTATTCTCTGATCATTATCTTTTTCTTCCCCCACTACAGGGAAAGATTTATGGTGTTAAATTATAAGGACAGATTTGAACCTGGTATCCTACAGCTGAGTCAGTGGTTTAAAGAAGGAAAACTAAAGGTAAAACTTGTTTCTATACTTATCAGTATAATGCTTCTTACTATTTGATAATATGATTTTAATTTATTATAGCAAGCATAATAGTCTTTATAATAAAAATTCCTACAAGTGAAAATGTTACTGGACATTACAGCTTGAGTAAGGCAGAAGCCTGTCAGAGGAGGAAAACTCAAATATTTTTTTCCCTAAAACGAATGATCGAAAAGTGGTAAGCCTACACCCTGTCAAAGGTGGAAAACTTGCAAAATGGAAAACAATGTAGTCCTATCCAGTTCTGGCTCTCACACGTCTCACAGTAGTTACAGTGTCAAGAGACCTTATCTCCCAAGAGAATATAGCTTCCTTATTGGTAAACCCTCTCCTTGGCTAAAATTTTATTGAGCTTTACTTTCCGTAGATTACATTATAAAATCAAGGGGCATTTTCTAAATATATAATTATAATAATATTCATTTAACAAATATTTATATAATATGTGTTACAACAACTACATGTTAGAAGCTGTACTTTCTCAAAGTAAACACCTCCTAGTGTCCCATACCTCTTTATCACCACATTTCTTTCCTGCCTTTCCTGGACACTATGATAAAGCTTTTGGTTGATTGTTGAAAATCAGGAGTTGCTAAGTAGGGTCTGTAAACCATGATTTAGAGTGTTCTTGAAACATGTACAGGCTGCAAAGTTGTATATGTGTGCTTATGTACTTTTAGTTGTTTTTTTAACCTTTTAATTGTGAATTGGGTGAAGGTTTACAGACCAGAGCATTACATTAGTTTTATATCCAATAATTCATACACATGTTGTTTCATTTTATTGATTGCAATTCCTACAATGTAACATCACTTATCCCACTTCTACCTTTGGTTTCCATTTCCATCCCTCCTTCTTTCCTAACCCTCTGAACTGTGTCCTTGGGTCACTGCTGCCCTTTTCATCTCAAAGGCTTGATTATTCTAAGGCGTGCAGACTTCAGGAGCATTTCCTTTAGAGACCTGCCTATTGTTTGGCTGAAAATGGAGCCATGGGGGAAGAGTTCAGTTCCAGAACTGAAGGGTACTTTGTTTTATGGAAAGGGGTTATATAGCTACCAACTAAAGTCTAAACAATGGAAAAATAGGATTTTATTTTAAAAAGTCAATGGATGAAAACTTTTCTGGGCTGTCTGAATGATACAACAAATATCTGTTTTTAGACAAAATATTGCTGCCTTTAGCAAAAAAAAAAAAAAAAAAGTAGGAACTATTAAATAGAAACATTGAGGGCTGAATATTAAATCTAGCTATTTTGATTTACAGATCAAAGAGACTATGATAAATGGATTGGAAAACATGGGAGGTAGGATGAATGTAGATTTATTTCTAACATACATGTTTTCAGCATAAATACTTCTTTTTCTTTTAATTCTACTACTGAGTTTTTTTTTTTAATTAAAACAAGATAACATTTGTTTTCTGTAAAAGTGTCCTGCAAGTTTCCTTAAGTATCTTATTAAACTCTATGATAATTCAATTTTCTGGTATTTAAAAGGTTTTATTTTCACATTTCAAATGATTAAATAAGTGTTTCTTTGATTTCATAAATAGTTTATGAAAAAAAAAGGTAATTTTTCTAGCCTGTAGGTAAGTTTTTCAGATTGAATGATTCTAGGGTGGTACAAACAGTTTGCCACTGGCAGCTTACCTAAAGATTGGCAGTTCAAACCTACCCAGCGGCACCTTGGAAGAAAGGTCTGGCAGTCAACTTCCATCAGATATGTAGCCAAGAAAACCCTATGGAGCAGTTCTGCTCTTTACAGCTGGGGTCATCATGACTTGGAATCTACTTGACAGCGATGAGTTCTTTTGGTTTGAGGCATCATAAGATTATGCAAAATTTCATAATTTAATCAGTTTTTATTTTTGCTTAACAGATTTCAACATTTTAAATGAAAAAGATGAAATCAAACTGATTTTTTTTTCTGAAAAAAATTAATATACTGGATTAATATGTTAACTACCAAAAATATAAATTTCATTAATTAGTCTGGCATAACAAATGTGTATTTCACTTATTTACCTAGTAAAACTTGCTTAGATTCCTAATATTTGGGACAGTTATATAAATCTTCTTTTCACTGACATTTTGTTTCTATATTTTCCTCTCACCAGTATCAATGTAAAAGACAATATTTCTCACTAGGGTAAAGACAATATTTTAAGATGTTAATTGAATTAGTTTGTTCTATAGCTTGATCAGTGTTTTATTTGAGACTTCTTTCTTGACAATGGCTTGTATTAATGTTAAAATTATTGAAGAAATGATTCAAAGTACTCATGTGTATTTTGTTAGTCTGACCTCCTGATGAACAAGTATGATAGTGAAATTGCTCTTGTCAGATAACTTCATTTTTTCCTTTCCAGCTGCATTCCAGTCCATGATGACAGGAGGTAACACTGGAAAGCAGATAGTTTGTGTTTCAGAAGAATTCACTTTGTAATTTCTGGAAGAGTGGGTCATCAAAGAAATCACACAGATTTCTCTAGAGTTCACAAAGATTTTCAAGTTACATTTACAAACAAAATGTTTAGAGTACAGGTAACTTAATTTAAATGTGAACATAGGTGATATTTTCTTAGGTATTTTGATTTCTTCTTTCTTGAAAACCCTATACAAGGTTGCTATGCGTCATAACCAACTTGACGGCACTCTTCAACAACAGCAGATCTTAAATGTCTGCTACCTAGTTAGGTACAGTAATAGAGTCAAGTCAGCCTGATCTAGTTTTCTTTCTTTGTTGAAGCTTTATTACATATGTTAGATATTCTGAAGCCACTATAGATTTGATGTAACTGTTTAGGGATCTTACAAAATAGAGCTAAAAAATTTTTTTTAGAAATTTTAAATTATGCTCAAAATAATCAACTTTTAGTTCAGATATTTTTTAAATAATGCTAATATTAAAATTTAACATTTTTGCAGCAATGAGTTCCATGCATTTATCTGAATAGCCTTAAACTTCCTGGGAAAGTCAGCCTTGGCAGAATTTGGTTTCTATAATAGTTTTGTTAGATATGATACTCCTTTCTTTTTGAGATTTGTCTGTATCTGCCAACAGCTGAATCACTTAATTTGTACTTACCCAATTAAGAAGTGTACAAAATGAGATTTATCCTGATTAATAAACAAAATACATTTTGTCCTGGTTTCCTTTAAAATAAAAAAAGCTATTTTTATTGTTTCTGATTACAAAGTAAATTGGACGCAGAAAGGCTTTCTGGTGGGACCTTGTGACTGCCCATGTGTCTGGCACAGAAGCATTAATAGGGGGAAGCTGAGGGCCTGGTGTATGAAATGTAAACTTTGGAGCAGGGGTTGGTGATAGAATTGTGCCCAGCTAGATGCATAGAATTGGAATTTGAAACAGTGAACCAATTTTTGTGAGTACTCCATCTTCAGGTAAATATTTCTTTGAGGGATATGTTTATTTCCCCCCTTTTATTTGTTCAGGCTAAACTGCTTACTTGACAGAGATTTGAGCGGAGCCCTTTCACTTGTTAATTATCTGACTTAAAAATGACGTAAACATGACTTAACTTCTCCAGTCCTACTTCTTCAACTCCTAAAAACAAACATCCTGCCTTCTTTATTTAATAGGACTGTTCTGTGAGGCAGTGGTGGTGGTGGTGGTGGTTGGGTGCTGTCAGGTTGGTTCTGGCTCATAGCAACCCTGTATAAACTTTCCGAGGCTGTAGATCTTTATGGGAGCAGAAAGCCTCATCTTTCTCCCTCGGAGCAACTGGTAGATTGGAATTACTGACCTTGCGGTTAGCCAACTCAACTGACACCAGGACCCCTTAAATGTTGAAATAGTTTACAAATTGGAAAACATGTTACAAATGTAACATCTTATTAGGCTTTATGTCTTCCCACCCAGTTTACTTAGGTACACTGTATCCCCTTTCTTATGATCAACATCTCCTATCTACTTATTCAAACCCACTGTTCTCCAAAACTTAGTCTGACTTTTAGAAAGACTTTCCAGTCCATTTACCTTACAAGTCCTTCTTTACTGGACTCATGTTTTTGCCACTATTTAAAAATATTCTCCTAACAATCCAATGGACTAATAGACTACATGAACTTGTCTCCAGGATCCTGAGACCAGAACAAGATAGTGCCTGACTATTATTACTGCCAACTGTTCTGAAAGGAATAACATTAGATGGCCCTGGATAGAGTGGAGAAAACGTGGAACAAAACTCAACATCATAAAAAGACCAAAATTACTGGTCGGGTAGAGACTGTTGGAATCCCAGAGACTGTGACACTTTGTCACCCTTCAGATCTGGAAATGAACTCACCCCCATGGTTCAATTTCCAGCCCAATAATAGGTTGATAAGGGGAGTGGGGAGCATGCTAGCACTATAGGATATGTACTGGACTGCACACCATAGGTTGGCGGTTTGAGCACACCAGCCACTCTGTAAGAAAGAAATGTGGTTTTCTGCTCCCACAAAGATTTATAGCTTCAGAAACCCTATACAAGGTCACTATAAGTCAAAACCAACTTGATGGCACTTAACAAGGGAAACAGTGATACTAGGGAAGTGCAGCACACCTTAAAATACAACCATTTGAGATCAAAAGGGCAGCATTTACCCAACAGCAAAGTTCAGAAGGGTTAGGAAAGAAGGCAGAATGGAAACAAAGGAGCAAGTGGGATAAGTGATGTTACTTTTAATTGTGAGGATTACAATCAATGAGCTGAAACAAAATGTGAAAACAAAGTATCAATGTAAAACCGGTATGCTCTGTTAAACCTTCATCCAATTCACAATGAAAGGTTAAAAAAAAATTTTTTTAAAGCGTATCCAGAACACATGATGTCATTATGAAAATAAACACTGTCCTCTTCTGTGGCATCTCATCACATCTAGCTTAATTTTCCACACATCTCTGCTTTCTGTTACTAGATTTTCTCTGTGTGTCACTTTAGTAATTGCCTTAAGAAGCCACTTAGTAAATACAGGAAAAAGCTGAAACTGGTCAAAAAAGGAAAACTCAAATATTTTCCACTAAAATGAGTGCTAGAGGTCATAGGAGCGGGGTGTGTGCTGGGTGAAGAGCTCTCCTTAGGTGAAGTCTCAATGGCCACTCGTCAGTTCTTCAAGTCTGGTGCTGATTTAGAGACTAGAATGAATATCTTGGCACCAAGGGTGCGGGTGGGGAACAGCAGCAACAGACCTCAGGCATGGCTGGAAAGCCACTAATGAGAGGCACACCTCCAGTGTGATCCAGCCATCCAGCTTCTCCCAATCTACGTCAGCCACGGGGGCAGTGGGGACAGTAGAGATCAAGGGAGGTCATCATTAGATTCTTTGGAGTATGGAACTTCAACAGTTCTGCCAACAGTGAATTAGCATTGTCTCAACTCATTTGCATCACCTAACTCTGAGGAACAGAATGATGAAACTTCTGGAAGGAATTGTAAAAGATAGGAAATTTGTGAATCATCAGGGCAGTGGATGTTTTCTATTCTCCATTGAAAAATAAACCTACTATTTCAGGCATTTATTGTATGAAATTCCCGACAAAGACATCAGAAAACTAGTATTAAGGTTGTTCAGTGACATAAAGGAAAACATGGGAAAAAATTTAGAAGAATTCAGGAAAACAATACAAGAACAAAGTAGAAACTCTATAAAGAGAAACAAGTAAAAACTAGAAATTATGAGGCGTTCTGCTCCCGTAAAGATTTGCAGCCTCAGAAACCCTGTGCAGGGTCACTATGAGTCGGATACTTAACAACAACAATAATAAAATAACAGAAATAAGCAACTCTGTGGAAGAACATAAAATGAGTGCTAGCAAAGTAAGGCTGCACCTTTCAAAAGATGGAAAGTTTGCAAGACTCAGAAATACAAGTCCTGGTGAGTTCTGGCTCTTGCTGGTTTATTGAATTTACATGATACATAATTTAACTAAAACTTAAGTGTTAGAATTGGAATTTAAAATAAACCCATTGCCATCAAGCTGATACCAATTTACAGAACTTAATAGTTGGGATTTTGTGTCAACTTGACTATGTAAAGATTTCCAGTGGTTTAGCAATTGAGATGTGCTTATCCCCATGGTGATGAAACCTAACACAGGCATAGTTAACCATGATGAGTGACTGAGCAGCCAGTCTATCAAAGGGATGCTTCCTTGGGGTTGTGGCCTGCTCCCAACACAATGGACATGCAGGAAAGGCTCCTCCTTCCCCGTGGGACCTGGGACTCTACAATTATACGCATCGATAATAAACTCTCTCTTTCTCTCTCCACACACACACACACATATATATGTTTTGTTATTGTTAAGTACCGTTGAGTCGACTCTGACCCATAGCAACCCTTTATAGGGTTTCCAAGAAGCAACTGGTGAGCTTGAACCGCCAACCTTGCAGTTCAAATGGCTTTGCAGTCTGACACATTAACCCACAGCCCCATACCAGTAATATAGACACATATATATCTTTCACTGATCTGCGCCTCTAGAAAACCCAGCCTAAGACAATAACCCTATAGGAAAGAGTGTGGAGCGTAGTGGCTCCATACAATAAGCACTTGACTGTGAACCACAAGATCAGCAGTTTGAGTCCACCAGCCACTCTATGGGAGAAAGTTGAGGCTTTCCACTCCAGCAAATAGTTCAAGTCTCGGAACCCCTATACAGAGTCACTATCAGTAGGAACTGACTTGGTGACACTTAACAATAGGAGAGAGAAGACCTCTGCCCTTGGCCTGACCCAAGACCTGGTATTTTCAACCACGTGGCAAAAGCTGGACAATGAATATGGTAGACTAGAAAATTGATGCATTTGAGTTATGGTGTCGGGGAAGAATATTGGAAGTACTATGGACTATCAAAAGAACAAATCTGTTGGAAGATGTACAGCAAGAATGCTCCTTAGAACTGAGGCTGGTGAAGTGTCATCTGCATACTTTGGACATGTTAACAGGAAGGGCCAGTCCCTGAAAAAGGATCTCATGCTTGGTAAAGGGTCAGCAAAAAAGAGGCAGACCCCCAGTGAGGTGGGTTGACACAGTGGCTCAAACAATTTTTTGTGGTAGTGATGCAGGACCAGTGTTTCATTTTGTTGTGCATAAGGTTGCTGTGAGTCAGAACTGACTCACAGCACCTAACAACAACAACACGGGACTGCAGAACTACTTCCATGGGACTGCCAAAGCTATCATCTTTACAGAAGCAGACTGCTTCAAATTTGTCCCGCAAAGCGAGTGGTGAGTTTGAACTGCTGACCTTTTGGTTAGCAGCCAAGCACTTAACTACTACCCCACCAGAGAGTCTTAGAATTGGGATGGCATTTCCATTTTGTAGATAGAAGAGGGTGGTAATGATGGAGTGTTGTAGTGGCTTTGGGTGAGGTTAGGAGACTCAGAGGTTGTGGAACAGTTTTAGGCTGGGAGAAGTATGAGGAGATAACTGAATAA